AAATATTATGCCCAAGATTACATAACTGTTAAATGGCTGACTAGATTCTCAAACTCATTTTTATTTTACCACAGACTGGCCCTTTTTTTTTTTTTTTGCCATTGTTTGGCCAAATTCAAGTACTATGAGTATGGTTTTCTCCAGAAACCCCTTATCAAAAGGATCCATTTAGTGTTGTTCTTGGTACTCTGAACAGTACTTGTCATACAAGCATTTGTGGAATAAATGCTGCTTTCTGATGATCAATCCCTTTGTTTTTAAGTACTTAACATTTGTTAGTGCTTAAGAAGTAAATGGTTCTAATCTCTTTCTTTCCAGATATAATAGTATTGGGATATTAGTTATGTCTTCAGGTAATTCTGTGACTTTGTTAAGCTGTGTAAAAAGAGAACTCTAAAAAGATAGCTGTTGTTGGGCTGGAGAGATGGCTCAGCCATTAAATGCTAGGCTCACAACCAAAAATATATGAAAAAAATAGCTGTAGTAGCTTATGCACACTTAATCTTGCATTTGAGAGGCTGAGGCTGGAGGATTGCCATGAGTTTGAGGTCAGCCTGGTCTGTATAGTGAGTTCCAGGACAACCGGGCTATGTCGAGACATTCCTATCAAACAAAACAAAACAAAACAAAAAAACCTTAAAATTGTCATGTGAGAGTGTGTGTGTGTGTGTGTGTGTGTGTTGCCCTCAGAAGAGGGCATAGGTCTCCTGGAACTGGAGTTATGGGTGGCTGTGAGCCATGAAGTAGGTGCTGGGAACAGAACCTAGGTCTTCTGTAAGAGCTCTTAACTGCTGACTCATCTCCCTAGCTCCTCCCAGTATTTACAAGATCACTCCTGTATTGTTTCCAAGAGTTCATTTTGTTTCATTAACTTTTTGAGATTTCGTTAACTTTTATTTTCATGTTTGAACGTTGTGTCTGCATATATGTCTGTGTACCACATTTGCCCAGTATCCAAAAGGAAAAGTATTGCTCAGGAAAAATGACAATTTATAAAGGCACAAGAGGAAATCCTGCATTAGAATGAGGTGTTCAGTTTTAATTTGGCAAGCTGGAGGGGGCTTTTGATGGCTGGATTTACTTTGGCAGCTGGACCTTGGTAGTCAGCCTCAGGAGGAGGAAGTGGCCACGTAAGAGAATAGGCCTAGTTTTAGGAATGTAATCGGATGGTTTTTAACCAGGCAAAAGGAGTAGGGGAGAAGGGCAAGCCTGCCAGAGCCCTGCTCTCGAGAAGCCCAGTACCCCTGCAGTACCAGACCAGAAAGAGTGGCAGATCCTCACGGATGGGCAGTTCCAGATGGTTGTAGACCTCCATGCAGGTGCTATGAACAGAACCTGTCTCCTCTAGAAGAGCAAGCAGCCAGCGCTCTTAACCACTGAGCCATCTTCCCAGCCCCACCAGACTGTCACTCCTATATTTATTTCTTATATATGATGCATTTTTTGTATAGCCACTTTTATGGTAGAATAACTTTTATGTGTCAGATATTGTAAATTCTATTTTGTTGTGTGCTGAATATTTTATATTCCTATAAACTTGAAAATTATGGTATCACATGGAAACAATTTAATTCTTTCAGGGTTTATTTTTAGTATTTGTTAGCAGGAATTAGATGAATGTTTATAGTTATTTATTTCCTACTACTGAGGCAAGACTTTTTTGAATACCCAAAGCTCCATGAAGTTAAATCTTTCCAGTCTATCTGCTAGGAGCATAAACTATCCCTGGTTTTATGTGTTGGGGTTTGTATCCTCTAGGTTTTTATAGTCTTTTCCTTGGCTTATTTCGTCATAAGCCTACACTAATGAGCACCCACTCTGCTGAATACCCAGAGGGTACCTCTTTAGTCTCTGAAGTTGTATTCTTTGAATCCTTACTGCCTTGGACTTTTCAGACTATCAGCTTCATTCTGTCAACTCAGGAAATCTGCTGAGCTTTGCTTAGGCTTGCCTTCATGAATTACACACACACACACACACACACACACACACACACACACACACACACACACACTTAATATAAGAAACAAGTAATCACTTGTTTCTCATTTCTCCCAAGGATCACTACTCTTTATTACCTGATGTTCAACATCTGAAAAACTGTTGTTTCATGTTTTGCAGTGTTTGCAGGAGATGGGCTGTATGATTTTGGTGGTTTCAAAGATGTTATTCCATCTTGGGATGAAGTCTCTTAGTCTCTTTTTGAGTTAGAATTGATTACTTTGAAAAATTCTTTCAATTAACTCTAAAAATATTTGATTTTATCCTATATACCTTTAATATCTCATTTTCCTGTCACTACAATATTCTTTATCCCTTTAGGCACTTAACTGTGTTTAGAGGCTGGTTGATTTACCTGCAAGCTGTAAGTTAACATCATATGTGTAACACATAGACAGTGCACTGAAGATGGAATCAAGAGGTGTGTGTGTGTGTGTGTGGTAGGTGTTGAACCTAGGACCTCAAGCATACTTACAAATACTCTACCACTGAATTTAACTCTAGCCCTTCTAAGATTCTTAGTAGCTTAGTACGGTTATAATATGGTCTTGTGGTATGTAGCCAGAGATCCTTTTAGGAACTAGGCAAGTAAGATTTAATAAATACCATAGAGCTATGCAAGTACACTCTAACTAATTACAGCAGCCTTTCTTTTGTTTCATTAGAAAACAGTCAACTGCAACATTAAATCACACATAGGTTATAAAACTTATTGTTTTATTAAAATGGAGAAAGAATAACAGTTTTAATGCTTCCATTTAGTGGTTATATAACGTTATTTAAATCTGTTTACTTCTGAACAATTTTCCTTCTATAAAATGAGGCTAATACTAGCACTATCCTGAAAGGATTGTATGGAATATGTGAAAAATGGATCTTAAACTAGGGTATTTTAGGATTCTTTAATCACACCCAATTTTTACTATATTATGCATGGGAATCTCATATCTATATATCTATATGTACACACATTTAATCACAATGTAAAACTTGCTGCTACACATGATATTTTCTCATTCACTGAAAAATAAACCTTTAGTAGTGACCCATTATGAGTTATAGATCATCATACAAAATATATTATATACATAAAGGAAAAAAAAAACTATGAGATGACCTAATACTAAAAGGTTAATAGAACATATGTTGCTTTAGAGAATATTGTATGGAATGTTTGTTTTCATTTAAATGGACTTGGTTATATAAAATAAGAAAAAAAATAAGAACAGACAGATTGAAAAAAAAGAGAATATTGTATGGTTAAGTATGTCAATCTTTATTAACAGTTTTTGTTGTTGATGTTATTTTTTCTGGGTAGAGTCTTAATATATAGCCCTGGTTATCCTGGAACTCACTATATAGACCAGGCTGGCCCTGAACTCACTGAGACCCAGCTGCCTCTGCCTCCTGAGTTCTGGGATTAAAGGACTACCACCAGGTTTATTAACATTTATGAAATATTATGTTTCTATACTTTCAAATGTAGTTTTTCTTTTCCCTAACAAGTAGGCTAGTAATAATTTAGACATAGTAAAGAAATAACTCTCAGTTTATTTTTCAGTAATGGCACTCAAGTGGTTCTTTTGTTAAAGATTATGTTTCTAAGGAATGGTAAATCCTTAGAACTAGTATGAGCTTTGCATTATCTTTTAATTAGTTTGTTAAAACTTAAAATTCCCCTCTTTTTTACTCCAACATTTAAATAAAATTTAGAATCATCTTGTAAATACTGTCATAATAGAAGACACTTAGTGAATTAAGTTTTTCTGGAAAGTAGTTGTCATTTGGTTTACTAAGGTAACAAATGGCTTAGGGAAGTTAAGCCTATTGTTTGTGGTCTACTGTCATAAAAAGTTTTAATCTTTCCTAATTTTAATGCAAATCGCCACCAAAAAAAAAAAAAATACATAATGCAGACTTTTCTGCAGCAGGCACACAGGTTTTCGGAGTGACTAAGAAAGCAAATAACTAAGACTGATGTCCCTGCTGGTCAGCTGCCAGGGTTGTGCTGCCCTGGAGGAAACATCCCTGTGGAGAGTCCCTGCCCTGTTAAGCTATCCTACTCAGAAACCCTGGGATAGGTAGGTGCAAGTCCTCTTTGCAGCAGAGGCCTTCTTGCCTCCTCTTGCCTGAGTTTAATCTCCTGTTTCTAGAGTTAGTAATCCTTAGTTTAGAGGTAGACTCCAAGAGCTCACACAACTGGTTGGAGAATGAAAGGTAGCATGTGCTTTTGTAAATTTACCGGTTGTCTCAAGGCAGACAAACCATAAATCATTTGTGGTTTTTCTTTATATCAACTCCAAATCTTACAGAATTGTAAGGAATCTTTTGCTTTGTCATCCAGTGGAAAATGATCTAATGCTCAAGTAATCTACCAGAGGACTTTGGAATGTAAAAATGTTTTTAATGTGTTTTCCAGACATCTGTGACCTTATGAAATTGTACCCACCCCGCTTGATTTTTTTTTTTTTTTTTTTTTTTTTTTTTTTAGGCTCCCTAGATTGGTTGAGTTGAGTAATAGAAATTAATGAGCTAGATTGAATATAACTGGAAGAACTTTCTCTTGCAGTAAATCATTACTGTTACAATAGAAACTACTTACAGAAATCCAGTTCCCACATATTACATGCGCTAGTTGGAGAGTGGTGTTAATAAAGAGTTACAAGGAGCATGATTTTAAAATGATTTCATTAGAATCTGTGTTAAAAAAAAAAAAAAACAAAAACATGAATATAATTTTGGTGTTTCTTTGATCCAGGAGGTAATGAGTGTATAAACAAAGTTTTATATATAAGATTTTAGTATCTTAGATTGTATTTTTCCATTTTCTCCCAGTGCTTAGCAGTTAATTTAAACTGTACTAGCTGCCAGTGATTTGATTTACTTAAAAAAGCAAAATCCTGATTGACTCTGATCTGTTTCTTTCAGAAAAGTCACTACCCATATAATGGATTTTATAGATTAGATTGATTAGCGTGGATATCTGTAACAATACAGGAAATATACTTTACTACTCACTTCTGCAAGTAGTCATGACCGCTGAAGAAAGAATCTTTTTAAACTACAATGGAATTCATTTGGATACTTTTATGGAAATGCTAATTTTGTTTTTAAGTCTTGGTAGTTTTTTGCTAACGTTATGAACAAGCAACGAGCTTGTCTTGTTAGGTGGACACACAGTAGTAAGAATGTCTAGAAGAGGACCAGTTCTTCACAGCCGGACCCAGTGGCTGCTGTTGGGCCTTGCTTTGCTCTTCAGTTTGGTGTTGTTTATGTACCTCCTGGAATGTGCCCCCCAGACTGATGGAAATGCATCTCTTCCTGGTGTTGTTAGAGAAAATTATGGTAAAGAATATTACCAGGCCCTCCTGCAGGAGCAAGAAGAACATTACCAAACCAGGGCAACCAGTCTGAAACGCCAAATAGCCCAGCTGAAGCAAGAATTACAAGAAATGAGTGAGAAGATGAGATCTTTGCAAGAGAAAAAGAATATCGGGGCTAATGGCATAGGCTATCAAGGCAACAGAGAACAGACACCTAGTGATCTCTTAGAGTTTCTTCATTCCCAGATCGACAGAGCTGAAGTTAGCATAGGAGCCAAACTACCCAGTGAGTATGGAGTCGTTCCCTTTGAAAGTTTTACTTTAATGAAAGTATTTCAGTTGGAAATGGGTCTCACTCGCCATCCTGAAGAAAAGCCAGTTAGAAAAGACAAACGAGATGAATTGGTAGAAGTTATTGAAGCTGGCTTGGAGGTCATTAATAATCCTGATGAAGATGATGAACAGGAAGATGAGGAGGGCCCTCTTGGAGAGAAACTGATATTTAATGAAAATGACTTCATAGAAGGTAATATGAAAAGCGTGTTGATAAGATCCATGCAAGTTGTCGTCTGACCTCCACCTACATGCTGTGGCATGTGTACATGTGTATGCACACACACACACACACACACACACACACACACACGGCCACACACATGCACACATACACACAAACATATAAAAACAACTTCTACTATTTTGGTAAATTCCTTATGTTAGTATGAGAGAATACTAGTAACATATGCTAATATATCAATTTTTACCATCGTTCTAAAGCATTTACATTGTTATCCATTTAATTTTACCCAAAATTTGAAATGGCTTTTAGAAAAAGTTAAAATGAGATCATAATAAAAACAAGAATAAGAGTTGGGAAAACAGAATAAAACTAAGCCTAAATACAAGAATTTTAAGTTGAAGGGCTCTTGTGGGCCATGTGATTTACATTCCTTTCTTATCTGATGTTGATGTTCCTCTTATGTTTTTAAAAATGTATGAAGTAAGGCTCAAACTTTGAAAACCATTTGATAAGGAAAAAAATCTAATGCTGTAGGTTAATGGTGTTTTTCCATTCTGAGAGAAGCAAATGGTCACAGCATCAAAGGGGATACATAGTTTTACATTTGGAAACATAAAGCAGCACATTTACATGATATAGACTGCAGAGAGGAGCTGCAGTCCTTTATTTCTATTTGTGTGGGTGTTTTGTCTGCATGTGTTGCACCTCATCCTTGCAGTGCTTGCAGAGACCAGAAGGGGTCTGCCATATGAGGACTGGGAGTCAAACTCAGGTTCTCTAGGAGAGCAGCCAGTGGTCTTAACCTCTGACCTATCTCTCCAGCCCCAGGATATGTTTTCTGAGATGGTATAAAACTTAAAGGTCATGTAAATTTTAGATATTTGTTAATTGTTCTAAAAAGAGATAGTTGTATATCACTACCAGTGTCCATTTTAATGCCCACTGCTAGAAACTTAACTGCAATTTCGGATGTAAGTGTTTTTAAAAGTTCTTTGTTTTATTACATAAGCATTCTATCAAACCATTTTGTTTGACTCCAATTATCATAGCTGTCAGTTGTATGGCTTCTGAACCTATCAGGCAAGGCATCATGCTTCGCTGGGGCATTTTAGCTACCTTCTCCCTGTGACGACCTCTTTTTTCCTGCTGTTAAGTCATGCTAATTTTTTTTTCTTTTACTAGTTGTTTCTCTCAAAACTCTTCCAATTTTTTAAAAGGCTTAGTTGGGTTTTTTTCTTTTCTTTCTCTCTCTCATTGCTTTTTGTATTTCATGGTAGAATTGAAAGTTGCAGAGGAAATAGGGTAGTTAAGTGGCATATGACATGTCCTCATACCTACTCTGAACTATGACAGTTGTATTCTGCAGCTTCTGCTTGCAGTTTTCCTTAGCTCCTGTCCCTTTAAGGACTTCTCTTTGCCTGGATTATAGTCTGTCTCTTACTTTTCCTCCACTGTGCCAGGACTGTCCCTCTCCTAAATTAATTACTGGCAGCCACTAAGCAAGCTTCTTCCAGGCCTTGGTGTAAATATCATTCCTTCCAGGAAGTGGCCTCTAGCCTCAAGCCTAAAATAGTGGTGCTTTCTTTCTGTTGCTCTTGCCACCTCTGTAAGTCGTCCTCTGTTACAGGACTTGCTGCAGTAGGCGGTGTTGCTCCTATCCTAGTTGGTTGTTCTTTTTAGACTGTAAGCCTTAGGAGGGTTGGGGTAAGTCTAAACTTTTCGCTCCTGAGGGTTACACTTAAAACTCATATTGCCCAGTCAACCTCCATGCTTTCTTCCTAATTAACCACAGATCGTTATATTGAAATCTATTATTTCTTTGACTTTTTTATATATATGTACATATATATGTGTATGTATATGTGTATATATTTATATGTATATGCATGTGTACATGCATGCGTGTATATAAACATATATGCATACATATATACATAGTATGTTGTCACCGTTTATTTTTCTGTGTTCCTCACTAGACTAGCCCTTCCTTACAACTGAGACCACATGGTCTCTGTATCATAAATGACTAACACGAAGGCACTTGATTCATGTTTGTTGAGTTGAACCAAGTAATAAAAGTTTTGGGCTCAGGATTTAATATTACAGAAGTAATTTGTTTGGCACTATGGTAGTAGGGTCTGGTATTAAGGGGAAAAGTCATATGTAAAAAGGAATAATTATGATTGGATGTTATTTTGTGGATTGAACAATATACCAGAGCGAAAAGCTTCTTTTGTAACCCTTCTCTTACAGAGTGGTTGTTTCTGTCTGTGCATGGGAGTAGGTATTTTCACAACTAAATAAAGTCACTACAGTCTGGTTTAATACTTTTGATCCTTGCCTGAGTGAAGTCTATATTACTGTTGAATTGAAAACTTTGACATAACTTGTTCTTGTTCCAAACTCTTTCCTTTAGGCTATTACCGCACTGAGAGAGATAAAGGCACACAGTATGAGCTCTTTTTTAAGAAAGCAGACCTTATGGAATACAGACATGTGACCCTCTTCCGCCCTTTTGGGCCACTCATGAAAGTGAAGAATGAGATGATTGACATTACGAGATCAGTCATTAATGTCATCGTGCCACTTGCTGAAAGGACAGAAGCTTTTTCACAGTTTATGGGGAACTTCCGGTAACTCTGAACTTGCAGATGTGGCCAAGTTCTTTAATGCCATATTTTGTCCAGGGTTACTTAATCTTCACCAAGTATGATTACTTAGAATTATAGAAAAATTTCATAGGCTTTAAGGGGTATTTTTTAGATTTCTCTTTTTCTTAAAGCATATATAGTACATTATGTTTCTTGAAATAAATTTGAAGGTGCAACTGCTTAGAAACTCAATTTGATGATGTTATGTTTTAATTTAAAATAAGCTGGAGTTTTTGAAGATCTGTTTTACATGTATGAGCGTTTACCTTCATGTATATATGTGTACCACGTGTACAGTGTCCATGGAGGCCAGGAAAAGGCATCAAGTCCCCTAGAAGTAGAGTTCTAGATGGTTGTGAACCTCCATGTGGGTACTGGGAACCCAATCTGGATCCTATGCTAGAGCAATCAGGGATCTTAACCACTGAGCCATCTGTCTAACCCCAGTAAGTAAGCTGAACTTTGAAAAGCCAACTGTATTGAAGCCTAATTTATGTACAATAAAATCCATAGAGTCTGCTGGGCGGTGGTGGCACACTCTAATCCCAGCACTCGGGAGGCAGAGACAGATGGATCTCTGTGAGTTCAAGGTCTACAGAGTGAGTTCCAGGGCAGGCTCCAAAGCAATACAGAGAAACCCTGACTTGAAAAACCATAAAAAAAGAAGGAAAAAAACCCATATAGTCTAAAGATAACATAAAGAATATTTTAAGATTAAGTCATATTTTCATGACTTGAGAAATCTGTAAATGCACAAACCACAACAATGAAAATCCAGAACATTTCCCTCTCACAGTAAAATCTCTTGAGAGCAATTTGAGTTTTAAGATTGAAATGAACTTAAAAATTTAAACATTCAACTAAAAGTAGGAGAGCATTCTATCTTAGGAAGCAGAGAGCTTATTTTGCTGTTTTAAATTGCTAAGTGTTAACGTGAATGGAAAATGCCTTTTTGTTTCAATTTAGCAATTGCCATGTTTTAATATACCAGTTTTAGTTCTTTATGAGCCTAATCTTTATTTTCATACATAAAAATTAGTTCTATGGTAGAATATCCAGGAATCATACTTCAACTGAGTTGTGCCTGTTTGAAAAAGCTCCTGTGAGATATGATTTCCTACAACTTTTAAAAATTGCCTTTCTTGGCATTACTTTAAGAGGCTACATCATCCTCTTTCCTAAGTAACCTACATCGTGACAGTGATTCTTGGTGGCAGGTGTAATCTTCTGAAGTGTTCCATTTGAGAACAGTCTCTTAATCTGAGACATTTATTTGTTTGCTTCTAAACTGATTGAACATACTTCCTTAAATAGTTTTTAATTTGGTACAGAAAGAAATTCCACTGCAAATGTTCCAAAAATGTTTTAAAATATGGAAGTAAAGTAGCCATGGGCCCAGAAAGATTGTTCTCACTGACACAAAGACCATTTGCCTTTGCTGTAATACCTTCAACAATAGGGCAGGATCATCACTTTTATATTTACTTAATGCTACATGTGATTTCATTCAGTATTGATAGTGTCTTATTCACTTTCTTGCCAGAATGCCATGTGATTACTTTGTGAATGAGTTGTGCCTTGTATGTTTTCTTGAACAAACACTATCTTTCCATTCTCTTAGAGATGTTTGTATTCATCAAGACAAGAGGATTCATCTCACAGTTGTGTACTTTGGGAAAGAAGGACTATCCAAAGTAAAGGCTATCCTAGAATCTATCACAAGGTTGGTGAGCCACGAGCATGTTAGCATGTGTACAGATGATGAGAATTCAGGAACTGAGTGTTAGTGATTTTAAATAGGTATGTGAGCAGAGCTCAGTTCATAAAGTACTGTTGAACAAGGCTGAGGACCTGAGCTTGAGTCCTCGGAGCCAACGTGAAGCTGAGCTTGGCAACATGTGTCTGTATGAGGCAGGAGGATATCCAGAAGTTCACAGACAAGCTGACATATGCAGTGGCAACACAGAAACCCTGTGTCAATATGGAAGGCAAAGTAACACCCAAGATTGTTCTCTGACATTCACTTGCACACACACAAATGTGCACACACATGTACACACATACACATCATACACATATATCACACACACACAAAGTTTCCTGAGTGTGTGTGTATAGGTGGATGGTAATGATAGTAAATTTTTCACTTCACATGCGACTCTACAAATCTATCTTCCCTTAATTTCGAAGCAGGCAGCCCAGAATGATCAGGGTGTCCTATGATCTATCCACTTGCTGTATCTTGCAGGTTCTGTCTCCTTTTCTAAATCTAATCTCTGCTTTAACACTGTCTGAACTTACCTCACCTTTCTTCCCTCCTATACCCATGCTTCTGCTCTCCTCAAAATGGTGCTTGAGTCTCCTATGTCTTTACAACCCCCTACCTGAGTCTGCAGTGCACAGTACAGACTGCTTTGTTTCTGTTCTTTTACAGCCAAACTTCATGAAAAAGTAATTCTGTAACTAAGTAGCTCATGTACTACCTAGCACATAGCAGATGCTCAAAGATTTGAATGAATGAACTAGTAATTCTTTAGTAATTTTCCACTCTTTAAAATGAAAATTTTCTCTCCAAATTATGGGCCTGAATGTAAGACTCAGTTGCCAAATTCGACATTTTTCTCTGATACCCCCTTTGATGATTCTTTTACATGTGGTAGCCAGTCCTTCCTTCTGTAGATCTTTTATTGTTGTCTGTTTTTACTGTACCATAGACTGCATATCTTACATGGCTTTTTTTTTTTTTTTTTAAACCTTTCTGCTGATTATGAGCAGCCATTTTTCTTGAATCATTCAGCTAACATCTGTTGAGTCCCACCTACTATGATCCAGGTGTGCTGCTTGGGATTCTAACTCAGGCAGTTGGAAGAGTGGGCATAAACAAGAGTGTAAAGCCCTGTCCTGCGAAGACTCTCACAGCCTTGATGGACAAAACTATGACTTATCTTTCCCTCTCCAAATAATGGTAGCCCTCTTTCAGCTCAGAGGCAGACCATTTTCATAGGCCCTGCCTGGGCCTAGTATCTGAGAGTGAGTCAGTCTACTCTGTACTTCTAATTGTCTCTGCTGAGTTACTTTCTATGTGGGGCCTTTTCTTGTCCCTTCCTTGCCACTGCCACTGCCTAACCCCAGTTCTCACTTCCTTCATGCCCTACTTCCCTCTTTACTGCTTTCAGCCACCTACCAAGTACCAGTCATTTACCCTGGTGTATTCCCAAAATCACCTCCCTGTGCTGCCAGGATTCCTCTGTAGGAAATGGTAAAAACCTTGAGCCTACTTAAGGAGATTATATGCAACACAGAAGAATCCCAGAAATGAAAGGATTATTGCAAATACATTTGGAGAAGAAAGTAATCAAAATAACTTTGGGACCCGAAGGATTGGAATCAGGCACTTAAACACCGCGAAGATTTTCTTGTAGTTTTTGTTGACTTCATTCTCCTGCTGCAGGCTGTCTTTTTCCATATGGTGAAGGATATGGCTGTTGGTGGCTCTGGGCTAACATATTCTCAGCTTTGTCATCAGAGTTTCAGTAGAGAAAATCCCAGGGAAGGACATTTTACCCACCCACTACTCAGTCATTGTGGCTGAGTGGAGTGGTGGCTTCACAGTTGGCCACACACGACTAGAAAATTACTATTATTGGGGTAGGTAGAGTGAGGGATATTTTGTGATAAGTGCATCTAACCTGACAGTGGGCAGTTTCTCAGAGAGAAGGGAGAGATTTATGTACCATAAGATGGAGAAAGAGCCCTGGGTTCCCAGAACTTTTGGAGTCACTGTAAGCACGGCATGAGTCTGCTTCATTTGTCTCCATGATTACCCCTGCTGCACTTCTGTGAGAGCAGGCGTCCTCACATGCAATCCTATTCAGTGGTTTTCTAGCATTAGTACCAGCGGCACCTAGTGGACTCATTAAAGCAGCTAACTCCATCCCTTGCTTCTGAGACAGAGACTCTGGTGTAGCTCTAGAACTTACCATCTGATTGAAGATTGAGGGCTTCATTATAAGAACCACTGTACTAGCAGAAAACCCTGCTGACTCCTCCTTCCTTTGAAGATACTAACAAAGTTGTGTGCCCTGGGATGGATGGTGCTCCTCGGTAGAGCTTACAGTTGCTTAGTGTGAGCCTCTCATTATTTCCGTGTGCGTCATCTGACCCAGCTACTTTTGCTTCTGAGGATTATTTGAAATGACCTTTTAACTTACTTTCTTTGGAATCCCACCAAGGTGTAATTGAAGTTCCCCATCTGACATTCAGTTATTGTAGGCAGAAGCAATCTCTTCCCAGAACCACTGTTCATTCATTCAGCAAGTACGTGTTGAGCTATTACTCTGAGGGACACTGTGTCATAGTAATGAAAACAATCTATTTCGATGGTGTGGGGAGATACCCAAACAAACATGCCGATGATTCTGAGGGACACAGCTGAAGAGGATAGAGGCTAAAGAGCCTGCTTCCTATGTGACATCAGAGGATAGAGCCATCTGACAGAGAGCACTTGTCTGAGGATCTGAAAGAGGCTATAAGAGCATTCTGTGTGTACCATTTATGTGTAATGAATTACTAGTTACCAGAAGCTATGGCTATTTTTCCATGTATATATGTTTCTTTCACAGTACATTTTTAAGACCTCAAAAGGCTGCGTGCCTTTAAGATATCATACCCATTTAGAGTGTTACTTCAAATGTGTGCATTTGGTGACTATCTTTTCCTGATAACGAACAAACATGTGAAGCTTAATATTTCCTTACCCTGTGTGAATATAAAACCAACATAATAAGTTATTTGAAATATAAAATATATTTTGTAAGTTCTGTTGAAGGACATCAGAAAAGTTTTAAATAGAACTTACTGGCTCTTGTATGTGCTTTCGTTATAGTGAGTCTGGTTTTCACAATTACACCTTGATTTCACTGAATGAAGAATTTAATCGTGGACGAGGATTAAATGTGGGTGCCCAAGCTTGGGACAAGGGAGAGGTCTTGATGTTTTTCTGCGATGTTGATATATATTTCTCAGCTGAGTTCCTTAACAGCTGTCGGTTAAATGCTGAGCCAGGTGAGTAAAACTCTGTTAACAGCTGAGCGTGGAGCTTCGAGGAGTACTGATGTCACATTGACTGGAGGGAAAACAAGTTCTTATTAAACCTTAGGATGTTTTAAAAGTTATATTAGGCCTGATTTAATTGAAACAATAAATGGTAAATTGAAATGTTGAGGCTCTGATGTTCAAATCCTGTGTTTCCTTGGAGTCAAATTCCAGGGTTCTTTTGAAGGGAAGTAAAGAAATGCAGAGGGTTGGGTGGGGTGCTTGCCTAGTGTGTGCAGAACCCTAAAGTGGGAACCATGAGTGAAGGAGATACAAAAGAAGGTAAGTCTGGAAATTGATGACAGGGAAGCGGCTCAAGTCAGAAAGAGTCGCACACAAAGGTGGTTTAGAGGGGAGAGTTAGAAGTTCTTAGTCTCAGGAAGATGATGTGCCCCCCCACACACTCGCATGCTCATGCACACATCTAACACAGGCATGCAGAAGTCTGTGTGCAAGTAGTATTCGGTCTCCAGATTATGCATTTTAAAGTACATTGCTTTACATTGTAGATATAAAAGAAGTTTGTAAATGTATAAGCCTAACAAAATAAAGAGGCTGCTGTGTAGGTCCCTTGATCACTGCTGGATATTGATGCTAGCATATCTGTCTGATGCCAGTCATAGCAAGGGTTCCTCTACTGAAGTGCAATGGCCTAGTTAGCTGGTAAGGACCTTGAGTGCCATCAGTTTGAGTGACAAGGTCTCTCAACTTTCCCAGGTTTTGATTTAAATCTGTCTGCAGTTCGGTTTTATTATTCTTTATATAGTTATGCATTGCACAATATTCCAAGTGTTTACTGTTTTATTGACTGAAGAGTGAAAAACAGAAGTGTCTGAATTTTTTGGTGCTTGTCAGAGGTTAATTTATATGTTCCTGCTGAATGGGTGAACACAAAGAGTAATGAAATGGGTCGGCCACCTACTGAGTGCCTGTGAGAACACTTCTGTGTTCCTCCACAGGGTTGAAGGGAATCAGCATGCAACACCCTTAGTATGCTTTTTTACTGTTATTTTGCAGCTCCAGTTTCATAGTTTGACCTGTTAATGTGTTATAAAATAGACAATGATATTCTGTAACTTCAGTATTGATAAAATCACAACAATAAGAGATAAAAGTATACTAATACGAGTCATTCATTTGTAATCTCCTTGCATGAAATAAGCATGTATTTTTATTTATAGGTAAAAAGGTATTTTATCCTGTGGTGTTCAGTCTCTACAACCCCGCCATTGTTTATGCCAACCAGGATGTGCCACCCCCTGTGGAACAGCAGCTGGTGAGATGGTTTTGGTTATGAAAGCCTCAGTGATTTCTTCTGCTTTCCTCTATGTTTGTTGTACCGTAGAAATAAAGCACAGGTCCATAGCCTCTTTTACGTTCCCACCCCTATCAAAAGACTTTCATTTCTATTACTTTAGAAGTAACTGATATTGGCTGGAGAAAACATTTACAATAAAAACCCCCGAGTTCCAGAAGGTAGTGATTGTATAATCACAGTTCTGCCAACTTATTTTAGTAATACTAAAACTAAAATTAATTTTTAAATTCTACTAACTTGAAATTAAAACTGCTTTGCAGAATAACTTTAAGGGAATAGTACACTATTAGAAATTATGTAGAAAGTCATGAAAGGCAATGCTATGCATCAAGGCCTATAGTTATTGCCTAAGCTACACTTAAATAAGTTTTTTTTAATGAAATAAACTCACTGTTTGAGCTGATGTGGTTTACAGGGACATGATAAAGCTAGGATGTAGTCTTCCTGTGATTCATTCACCTGTTTGCAGGGCCAGCACTTTGTGCAACCATGTACAGAGCAAGCGTGAGCACACTCACAGTTCCCTGGATCTTATGTATAGGTCAGTATTGCTTAGGGATGTATGTACAAATGGGACCAAAGTGGCAAATAGATCACTCACATCTACCTAATCTCCTACCCCCAAATCTTTTAAAAGTGAATGGCTAGGGAAGGACAGACACCTTCTTCAGTAGTACAGCCACTGATGGGAAGCCTATGCTCCTGTAAATCTCTCTCCTCTAGAGTCCTATAAACAGCCCTAGTGAAATTTATTGGATTACAGAAAAAGAAAGAGGATGAACAGATGTGGGGTGTGGGGGGAAATTGGGGGTGAATCCAATCAAAACAAATTACATGTGAGAAAATGTCATACTGAAGCCTGTTGTTGTGTATAATTATTATACTGTGAATAAAAATTATTTCAATTAATAATTAAAATGGATACATGAGAATTGCAAAATAAGATAAAGTTAGCAGATACAAGTTTTAAGACGCTTACATATGATGCATAAGAGGGTGGGTAAGCTCACTCAGCAGGTAAGAGCCCTTGTTGTGTAAGCCTGACAACCCAGATTCCATTCCTGGAACCTGTAATAGGAGAAATGGTGAAGGATAGCATCAGCAGCAATCTCAGTATCCCTGATGTGTGTGATACCAGAGACAGGGCACCTCACCTACAGTCTCAGTATAATCACTGGAAAAGTTTCAGACAAACTCACCCTGAGGGGCATCCTGCCAAATACCTGACCATAACTTTTTAAAATTCAGTGTCATTAAAACTCTAAACTCAGTCTCTTTACTTGAGACAGAAACTTGATCTATTTAACATTTAAAGTGATACTAAAAAAAATAATAATAATAACCACATATAATAGAAAAATGAATTAAAAAGTTGACCGTAATTCGCAAATACAATTAGTCAACTTTTACTAGGAATAAAAGAGCTTTGTGAAATTACTTCTTTTAAAAATCACAGCCATGCACGTGAGTGGGACGTAGGCCAGTTGTCAGTGTCCATGATCAAGTTTACTGGAGCACACCCTACTACTCATTTGATTATTATTGTCAATGACTATTTTCACAATGTAAGAACTGTGACAGACTGTATGTTCTTTAGACCCTAAAATATTTATTCCATGGCTTTCTACAAGATATGTTTGTAGACTGTTGGCTACAATACTGCTCCCTAACCTCTACTAATCTTCTTACCAGCAGGCCTTTGTGAATTGTCCTTTTGTCTAAACTCTTCCCTTAGGATATCTTTACCTTGGTTCTCTTGTCAGTCAGATTCCAACTTCTAGCTTCATTTCTGTGGGAAGCTGTCTCAGTGCTCTGCTGTTTAGATGAGATACCTTACTTTAGCTCTCCTTACCATCATGTCCTTACCCAGGCCAGCATCAGTGGACCTAAGTACCATAGGTACTTTCTGTAACCCTCCTCCTTTGACTGCTGTTGTGTACTGTTATCTTGCAGAATCCCAGCCTTGTTACAGATGACTGTCACCCTGGCCCTATGGACTGACTGCATTCCTACTCCACACACATTCTGCCTTAGATGTCTGAGTCCAGGCCTCGACTCCTGGGCTGCGGGGGAGCCATGCATCCTACTTCTAAACCTACTTATAGTCCCTGCCCCCCCCCCAAGCCTTCACCTTCAACTTACTTTGTTTCCTATCTCATTTGGAAAAGATAAGCACCCAGTTCTTCTTACAAGCTCTGTCTGCCTTACTGCCCCAGCCTCTGTCCACTTCTTGTGGAAGAACTACCCCATAGGAGTGAAGACAGGACCAACTTCCTGGGACCAGCTTGCCCTTTTGTGGTAACTAGAGCTGATCCATCCCCCTTAACGAGGACTCCTTCAGCCTTTCTTCCTAACTGGTATCCTAGCATTTTTGCCTCTTCTGAATCACCCTAGGTCCTTGCTTACTGTATTCTTGCCTTCCTTTGTCATTCCTTCCTTTGTTGAACACTCTTTAAACAAAGCTCTATGGATGCTGCCCTCCTGGTGTTCAGTGATGTCTTCCAATTGTTTGCATAGCTTCTCCTCATTTCTTTCAGATCACTGCTCAAAGTTTTAGCTCCTCAAAGTGTTTTGTAAGAAACTATTACCTGGAATAGGCTTTTCCTCTGTTGTGCTTTCCTTTGTCTTGATATATGGCGTGGCCTTTATGAAATGAATATGTATTGTCTTGCTATTTTCTTGCAAATCCCTAATTTTGTGTTTCTCTACTTGGACTTCAACAGGAACAACTTTGTTTTAATACTGGTTTTCCTCATGGCAGAAAAGGATTGGGTAGTTTCAAGTTTCTATTTGTACCCTTCATCAATTGTTGGCACACTCTGTAAAGCCCATGGGAGATATTTTAGGGTTTCCAGACCAAATGGTCTGTAACTATGCAGCTTTCTCTCTGTATGGTGAAAACCCCCATACATCTTTGTCATGATAAAATTATTTATAAAGTGAGTGGCAGGCAGGAGTTAGCAGCCCAGAGCTGTAGCTTGTTGACCTCTTGCTTATGCCACATAAAAAGAACAAATTGTCTTTTCTACAAATTCCTAAGAGTAAGAAGATCTAATGTGCACAACAGCCCTCCCTTTTTAGCTTGTTGGTTTGAATTCTGTCTTAATACCTGTTAGCAATCAACTTATACAAAGTGGGGTGAAACTGTCTCACCGGTACAAAGTATTTATGGCCTGTTGAGAAGCTAAAACTTACAGACTGCATAGGAGCAAATAATTACCAGAACTGAACTACACCAAAGAAGCTGGGGAAATGAGTGCTGGCAAACACCCAAAGGTGTGTGTATAGAAGTGGCCATGGTACACTGTGGTATATGAACGTTTAACTCTTGTTCTGTCGTGAGTCAGGACTGTGCTGTTTTGATATTAGTAACCTCAGACTGAGCTCAGCACAGGGCTTGAGTTCAGTTAAAATGCAAGTGATAAGAACCCTGTGCACATGCAGATTGGAATATTTATTTGTTCTGTAAGGTTTTAACAGAATAAGTACATATGATCCTTTGTCAGTCGCATAAATGATAGAAAGAAATCTTTTGTAAATGGCTTGTTTAATTATTGATTAAAACTTCTAGTTATTAAAGATTAAATTGATTTTTTTTTCTTCTTTAACATAAGGTTCATAAAAAGGATTCTGGCTTTTGGAGAGATTTTGGCTTTGGGATGACTTGTCAGTATCAATCTGATTTCCTGGCTGTTGGTAGGTATCCATTACATCTAAGGATAGAACTTTGTAAGGCCTTTATTCTAGGCCTTATGGCATTTTCCCAAAAGGTATCAGATTTGAGTACTTTTGGTTAAATTGTAAGGATTATATCTGACATATGAAAGGTAAAGTGAAGTTTATAATTAATGTCTTGGATTAGTAAAAGTGTGGTTATAAAGGTAAAAACTAAATTTACTAGTTTCTTTAAAAACAAAACCCACATGTTAAGAAAACACTTGACTGCGTGTTACTGTTTTTGTTGTTTAGCGAGTTCTTCCAGAGCTCTCTAACTTTACCATGTGTCAGTAGGTATCACAGCCACAAGTAATCGTGGAATACCTAGTTAAAGGACTTCCTCTTTTTCATTTAGAGATGAAGCCCTTTTTAGTTTTCTGTTTAAGTTCTATGCAAAATCCCAGTTTTAAGACAAGGGGGAAGGGGCATCTCCAAAGTGGGAGCTGGAGAACTTGTCTAGCCCTAGTCCAAAGAAGTGGTAACGGTCTGGCTTAATCTCCTTCTTCCCCTCAGTTTCAGTCATATTCACACACACGCACACACGCACACACACACAAAGTGTCCAAGAGTAGTTTGGCAAAGAAAAGTAAAATGAATCTTGTTACTCCAGATCATTCAGTGTCTCCATTTCCATAATGTAGTGGGAGCTATAGGACTTATATCTGTGATATTCTTAATCCATAGTAAATTCAATTTATAATTAGCCACTTGTTTTTTTATCATTATAATACTCAAATAATGGAAAAATAAGAAACAGTGATAAAAACAAGTGCCAGTTCCCTGATTTTTTAACATAGTAAAACAGTAACCATTCACTATCTTTCAAGAATAGATTTTTGTACACTGTAACAATATTGTGAATGTTGTGAGGACTATGTTGACTGATAGATCACATGTGAAATTTACCAACTTAAAATGTATAGTTACCTAACTTACATAGTTATCAACAGTCAATTTAGACTGTTATCACCCTTAAAAGAAACCTTATGCCCATTAGTAATTATTTCCCATCAGTTCCCTCACTTCCAAGCCCATTAATCTACTTCTGTTGATTTGTGTCTTCTAAGCACTTAACATAATTGCGGTTGCACGATCCATGGTCTTTTATTCTTTCATAATAATGTTTTCAAGGGTTAGCTGTGTGACATGGGTACTTCATTCCTTTTTTTTTTTTTTTTTTTTTTTTTTTTTAAGCCAAATAATGTTCCACTGAATGATCATATCACATTTCTTCTGTCTGTAGAGAGATACTTGGGTTCTGTGTTTAGGCTATTATGAGTATGTCTGCTATGAACATTTGAATATTTGTGTGTACACTTTTGTGTAGATGTTTTTCATGCTCCTTCCTGTAGTAGAATTGCTGGGTTATATAGCGTGATGTTTCATCTTGAATATCAACTTGAAGAAATTTAGAACCACCAAGGAAACAAAACTCTGGGCATGTCTATGAAGGATTTTCTAGACTGTATTAATTCAGATGGGAAGATGCATACCAAACGTGGGCTGTGCCATTCCATGGGCTAGGGTCCTGACCTGAATAACAAAAACAATCTAAGTACAGGATTCACCACACTCCTGCAGCCATGCCTGCTGGGATGTACCCTTGCTTCATGTCAGGTATTAGTCACAGCAAGAAGAAAAATAATGCATCAGGAATTATATTTCACCTTTTCAGGAACTGCCATGGCACTTTCCAAAAGGCTGTATCTGTTCACATTCTCCTAGCAGTATATGATAGTGCTAATGTCTCTACACCCTATTGTTTATATTGTTATCTTGTTTTTAAGATTGATTTATGTATTTTATGTATATGAACGTGATGTCTGAGTGTATACCTGTGCCCAAGAAGAGGGCACCAGATCTCGTTACAGATGGTTGTGAGCCACCATGTGGTTGCTGGGAATTGAACCCAGGTCCCCTGGAAGAGCAGCCAGTGCTCCTAACCTCTGAACCTTCTCTCCAGCCTGTTATCTTTTTTTTTTTTTTTTTTTTTTTTTTTCATCTGTTACAGAGTTGAGTGTGTGTGAGGTAATATCTTGGGGGTTTTGTTGTTGGGCTGTTGGCTTAGGTCTCAGTGTTCTAGTAAACTTGTAACCTGTACTGAGAACTTGGTGCATCCTTCTTCCCTCTGCTTTTTCCGGACAGGGCAGCTAGAGGGAGGAGAGAGTTAGATGTTGTCTTAGTCCAGGCTCTGATTTAAAGCAACAATAAGAAACCCCAGCAGATCAGTTCTAGTTGAAGTTGCCCCTGATGTCAAGCTTTACAAGAACGGAAAGCTCTAGTATATTTCAGGACGGTTTCCCATCCCACTCTTGTACCTCATTTTGTAGACACCAGGACTTTAAAAATGGAGAGCATTTCTTTTTTCTGTTTTTTGCCCTGAGAACCTGGTGGAACTAGAGGTAACCCCTTTCCCCCTACTGTGAAGCCCTTTGTGGGTAGGTCCCTGGAGTCTAACTTTCAAACATGTCCAGCATGCAATTTGGGAATTGTGGGTTTTCCTGCCGTAGTACTGGCTCCCGAAGACATTTCTTCGGCAGCAACTTGTGATTCTTTGTACCTTCCTGTCTTTCTATCCAAGTTTCACCCCGTGACCTTACTTCTCAGAAGGCTCTAAGAGGAGCCTTTTTATCTGTTAGGACTGAGTATTGTTTCCTAAGTTTCTTGAGTGCCAGACTTAAGAAGCTCCCTTTGCATTTAGATTAAGCATCTATACTATCTTTAATATTTGAACAGCTTATTCCTGTTTGTAAGGAAAAAAGCAGAGTTGCATCACATTTAGCATTTAGTAATGTATGACTTTTAAACTTTATAGAGATTCAAGGTATGAATGTGAAGTTAAATCATATAGCATAATTTGAAAGGAGATATAATTTAAAAGTCTGAGTCTTAAAGAATTTTGTTTTTAGCAATTTTTTTCTAACTGTTCAAAAAACTTCAAGTACTCTTTTGTTTTCCTTCTTTAAAAAGTCAGTTGTTTGGGGCTGGAGAGATGGCTCAGTGGTTAAGAGCACTGGCTGCTCTTACAGAGGTCCTGAGTTCGATTCCCAACTCCCACATTGTAACCCATTACCACCTGATGGGATCTGATGCTCTCTTCTGGCCTGCAGGTATACATGTAGACAGAGTACTCATTAATTAATTAGTTTTTTAAAAATCAGTTGTTTAGCTTGAGCCCCGTTTTAAAAGTGTCTCCATCTCGTTGCCACCCACTACAGTTAGCCTCTACTTTTACTACTTCGTCAGAATTTTGCTAATAAGATTATAACATTTATGCTGCCAGGTCCACTGACACTCTCTTTTCTCTTTAATTCATTCATATGGAGACTGGACCTGGCTGAACCCCGGGCACAGCCTTTATCTTTTTGAGACAGGTTCTTGTAGCTCAGACTGGCCTCAAACTTAAGACCCTCTGCCTCTGCCTCTGCCTCATGAGCGTTGGTATTATAGATGTACACGACCATGCCCAGTGTTCTTTGAATAGTTTTCTTTTTTCTTTCTTTTTTTAAGTCCCTAATTGAGTGACATGAACCTGGCAACTTCTTCCTTGAATAGACTCTTCAATTGGCTTCTGTCTTGGCACCTCTTCCAGAGTTTTCTCCCTTGCCTGAATTTACTTCTCAGCCTCTTGCTGATTTACCTTCTTCTGCCTATGCTTACCTCTGAAACTTGGCATTTATTATTGTTTAAATGTAGGCCTTATTTTTCTTCTGAACTCCTTCAGCTTCCCTAAAGAAGATGTAAGTAATGTTTACTCTTCCTCCACAGACCCAAGGATAAACTGAGGTACAATCCACCACTGCACTCCATTGAATTCCTTAGGCTTACTTATAGGCCAATGGGGGTTGCAGGTCAGAGCACAGAAGACTTTAAAGCAGCCACACTGGAAAGTTTACACCCAGTATATATAGATAGACTCCCCCATGACCAAGTCTTTTCTACACTGTGTATTTCTGTGCCCTCCCAGAGGCCACTTGCAGTTAGGGCAGAATTGTATATCCCTGGTTGGGATACGGAGCTGGATACTGCAGTGAAGGTCCCACAACCATCTCTGTTCCTCCTGTGAGGGAAGGTCAGGAGCCAGCAAGTTGAGCTTTGGTGATCTTTTGGAAACAGGGTCAGCTGAGCTCATGAAAGTGATGGCAATATGACCCAGAGAACAATTCCACATAACAACATCTGTGCACCCAGTCTTTAACTTCTGTCTCCAAGCATCCATTTCTTGTGTTTTTCCCTATGGAAAATTTTCTATAACAAAGAAAACCCTGTTTCTTGAGGCATAGAAAAAAGTATGTTAATGGTGGGGATGTGTTTATATTTCCTTCTCCTTTGACTGTCTGTGGAACTGAGTGATCTTAAATATTTATCATGACGGTGATGTTCTCAGCTGCTGATGTTACTTGTGTAGTCTGAATGCCTGCTGTTACTGGGATTTCCAAACAGGAAGTTATCCTTCTATGCTGTCGTCTTTGTGCTATACCATGCCATCTCATGTGAAGCGCAACATTTAATATGAAGATACTGTCTGTGCTCTCTCTGCCTGTCAGACGCTTGAAGTGTCAGCTTTGTTCCTGCAGGTGGATTCGACTTGGAAGTAAAAGGCTGGGGTGGAGAAGACGTTCATCTTTACCGGAAACACTTACATGGTGATCTCATTGTGATCCGGACTCCAGTTCCTGGTCTTTTCCACCTCTGGCACGAGAAACACTGTGCAGATGAGCTGACGCCTGAGCAATACCGGATGTGCATCCAATCCAAAGCCATGAACGAGGCGTCTCACTCCCACCTAGGAATGATGGTCTTCAGGGAGGAAATAGAGATGCATCTTCGAAAACAGGCGTACAGAACCAACAGTGACACCGCTGGGTAACAGCCACCAACACATGAAAGTCTGAACCACAAGCCAGCATTGTTTATTCAGCCTTAATTCAAACCCCAGATTCTGTGCCTCTTGCAGAGGGGGAAAACTGTTTATTTTTTATGTTCTTTCTGATTTTTTTTTCTTTTTACTTTTTTTTTTTTTTTTTTTTTTTTTTTTTTTTTTGGTTCAGCTTGATATAAGAAGAAAACACAGGTGTTTTGACACAAAGCAGTCTTGTGAGAGTACTGTGGTAGAAACAGTTGACATAATGAAATTTGGAATTTTTCCAAAATAGTTTGAAATAGAGTCTGCCTGGTACCTGTGTTCTGATTGGTTCAGGTATGCTAGGCTGACGTTGGGTTGCTTGGCACGTCTATAGGAAACAGAACATTGGCTCATCATGCTGTATAGGCAGATATCACCTGTGAACCACTAAGTCGATCATTCAACTTCAGTTTTTAAATGAGAGCTTTTGTTGATCACATGTAGAATATTTTTCACAGAGAATAATTGGCACATCTGGAATCTGCAGTCCATTAAGAAGATAGAAATCAAAGCCCCTTAACTTCTTGTTGCTTTACCTCTAAATATCTTCTTTAAGCCAATGACTACAGTAGACATAGTTTAGACTCTACTGCTTGGTGATAAATAAAATATATCATAATGTTATCATCGTGTTCAGAATACATAGTCAAAACTGCAGCAGATGTTTTGAACAAACAAGAAAATACAGAAGCTTTTGAACAAAGCATTTTATTACAATACAGGAGAATACCTACATTTGGGAACATCTTTTTCTATATGCCAGACCTTCCTGAAGAGGCATAGAAGATATGAACATTATAGTGAGGGGTTGGATGGCTTTTGTTTTGCACTGTCTTATTTAGCATGGGTATATATATATATAGATATAGATATATTTATTTTCTAATGCGTTAATATTTGCCACAACTGTATTTGCATTTGTATTATACTTTAAATTGAAGGAGTTTCATTGAAAAAAGTGGTTCAATGCATTATATAGTAAGATCACTCTGATTTTAGAAAAGGGAAGGAAAGTAATCATAGAAATATGGATTATGGAGTACTTTAAATATTATGTACAAATTGAATGTTATTTTAATTGAAGTGTAAATTATATTAATGAGATAAGAAGAATGAGAAATTATATTCTAATGAGACTGTACTATAATATTTATCACATGTGGATACTTTATCATTGGGCCATTTACTGAACAAAGTAAAAGGCATGCGTAATTTTTTAACCCTTGACTTTTAAAAGGGACCTACTATTTGTATATAACCCATGAAAATTCAGAAAAATCTTTTTTTTTTATTCAATAAGTCATACACTTTCAAATGTTACAAATGCCAAACTTCTAGGTGCTAAAGTGAATCCAATTTCATAATAACTAATTGTTGCGAATTCTAGCTTGGATGGTGTTTAGTTTTTTTGTTTTTTTTTTGTTTTTTTGTTTTTTTTTAGATATATAAAGTGCTCTGTACAGAATAAGAAAAGCCAGCATATCCTTTGTACACATTAATTGTGAAGACCATGAACATGGTGTTTGAAATTAGGGAACTGAATTATTTACAAAGGTGGATTTGGGTTGGTTTTGAGATAATCAAATGATTTTTACTTTAACTCCTATTTTTTAAAACTAGCTTTTAACTAAAGATATAAGCTAGGCAATGAGAGCATTACTATATTTTTTACATTAAGTGGTACCAATAAAGTATTTTGTTACCAAAAGTTAAATGAAAATGTGGTAAATTAATTTCTTTCTTATTTAAAATATCATAAGTTCAAAAAGGTACACAGTATGCAGTTGTGACATTAAAGAATAATAGAGCAAACACTCCTGACTAACCCCTTTTGTGGTTTTTTTCCAGTGCTGTACACATCTCACTCAATCTGAGTTTTGTGATGATTTGTCAGTTGATTTTCTTCATAGATTTCCCAACTCTGTATATCTCTACTGTTGAATTTTTGAATTCATATTATTTTGTTATATATTTGCCAACTTTTATAAGGTATTCTTAATGTTCACCCATAGTGATATCCAAATTGGCTCATTTTTATTATTGAGTAGCATTGTATGACTATGCTATGTTGTTGATATGGTACTTCAGGTTTTTATACTGTTGGTAGCTTTTGGTAGTTTATACTTTTTACTGTTTTCTTTTGCTGTTACAGGCAGTGGTATCATGAGAGTGACTGAACATGTCTCCTGTCAGTGTGGCAGAATTTCTGGAGGAGTAACTCCTTGTATCATTAGTTGTATGTATATTGAACTTACTTTCCAAAGTGACCACTTTACAGCGCTGGGTGGAGTTTACTTTGTCTTTTTGGTAGTGCAAGAAATTACTCTGTAAAATCAAAAAGGAAGGATCTTTTTGGAATTCTTTTTACAAAGCCATGTTACCTTGATACCCAGGCAGACAAAGACTCATTTAAAAAAGGAAAAAGAAAAGAATAATTATAGGACAGTCGCCTAGATCAGTAGTTCTTACCTGTGAGTCTCGATGCCTTTGGGTTTATAGGGCCCTTTCATAGGGGTTGCCTTAGGCCATCCTCCTGCATGGCAAATATTTACATTATAATTCCTAACAGTAGCAAAATTACAGTAATGAAGTAGCAGTGAAAATAATTTTATGGTTGGGAGTCAGCACAACATGAGAAACTGTATTAAAGGTCACAGCATTGGGAAGATTGAGAACCACTGTCCTAGATGAACATTGGAGCAAATTTTCTCATTAAAGACTTGAAAACTAATTTTAAAAAATCATCCAAAATGGTCAGGTCAACCTCATCCTAGAAATGCAGAGGTGGCTCAAAATACATAAATCAATAAATGTAATCCACCATATAAATACACTCAAAGATGGAAACCAAATGATCATCTCACTAGTTGCAGAAAAGGCCTTGACACATTCAATATCCCCTTATAGCAAAAGTCCTGAAGAATCTAGAGACACAGGAAACATACCTCAGTCCAATAAAGGCAACAGCAATATGCATCAAGCCCTCAGTTAATATACTAATTGGAGAAAAATTTGAACTATTTCCATTAAAATAAAGAGCAAGACAAAGATGTTCATTCTCTGCACTCTCATTCAAGAATAGGCCTTGAAGTCTTAGCTACAACAATAAGACAACAGAATGAGTTAGGGGATACAGATAGAAAAGGAAAGCATTGAAGTATCCTTATTTGCAGATGGTAAAATTCTGTACATAAAACCCCCTGAAAATGCCACCAAAAAACATCTGCAGCTGATGAACTTATTCATGGAAGAAGCAGTGTACAAAGGTGATGCAAAAAAAAAAAAAAAAAAAAAAAAAAAAAAGCCTTCCTATATACCAACAACAAACATATAGAGGGAAAAGAAAACAATCCCATTCACAATAGATTCCAAAACATTTTGGAATTAGTCCAACCAAGGATGTGAAAGGCTTTTAAGACACTGAAGAAATAGACAATACCAGAAGGCAGAAATAACTCTCATGCTCATGGACTGGCAGGGTAATATTGGAGGTAGCTAGCTGTAGCATGAATAATAAAAACCCAGAGACAGATGGTGGGGGTGGGGGCGGGGGGCTGAAAGATCAGAGAAGCAAAGCAGCCAGGGCACTAGAGAGTTCTCACCTCTACCAGTGCTCAGACCAAAGGGGCCATCCTGTCCTCAGTGGCTGCAGACTGAATACCCTGCTCTCCTATCTTCACCCACCTTATGTTCCTCTCTAGTGCTGGGATTAAAGGGGTGCACCACCGCCACCCAGCTTCTGTGGCTAACTAGTGCGGCTGCTGGGATTAAGGTGTGTGCCACGACTGGCCTCTATGAATGTGACTAGCTTTGCACAGTGATCTTTAGGCAAGTTTTATTAGATCATTAAATATCACTTTCTCCTTTTTGTCCAAATTTTTAAAAAATTATAACTAATATAAGAAAAAGTATATACAATAAGTACAATAACTATATATAATATATACAGGCAATAAGTGCATCAACAGTGGCTAGTCCATTAACAATTGACAAATTCAGAGAAAATACTCCTTATCTGTTCTGTCTTGGTGAGTCCAAAAGGTTATACTTAATTCTCTTTCTATTTTAACTTGCATTACCAAAGCTATCTTTTAATGTCTTTCAACCCTAAACACTTTACACCTCTTTAGTGAATTTCTTTTCTGAATGTAATAACAAGGAAAACTATAACTATAAAGTCTTCAACTCCATCAGAGACCTGAGAAGGAAATAAAAATAACTGAGTAAGCAGGAAGTGAAGCAAGCAGCTTCCAAAAAAATGTGAGAAATGACAGAAGCAGCTAGCAGCTTGGACAGTCACTCCAAGGTTCCTCTGCATCCATTGGGTCAGCCGCCTTCAGCCGATAGGTCTAACATATCTGACAGACTTTTCTATGAAGCAGAATTTTTGATGGACTGTAATGCCTTGTCTTGGCAAGGTATTGTACAGTCACTCTCTTGTGTCCTGCTTGTCTGATTTGGACAGCATACTGTCAGCAGTTGAGGCAAGGGCACATTCTTGCCCACTGGCTTACGTTTGCCACAAAGAAAGTAAACTCCATGTGGAATTTCTTCAGTGCCCATCATCCTCTCTAAAGTATATGGGTGCTGCCAGAACAGACATGTCTCATTGTCACTAAAAAAAAGAACCTGTATTATTAAAACATCTTAAATGACATATTCTGTAGATCTCTGAAGTGTTTGAAGATGATTTCTCTAAAGTATATCTCCCTTGACCTTGTAAACATACTTAATATGACTACAAATTCAATTGTAATAGGTGACTAATTACTAACCTGCATTTCCCTATTATCCTACATAGTTGATATCAATAACTTTCAAGGACTAGAAATTTGTATTACATTGTTAAATAAGCTGTATAGCTACAATACCTTGAACAAGATTAGAAATGTATTACAGTATGTATTAACAAATTTAATCTCAAATTTGTATAGATGTACAAAATTTGAATACAATATACAAAAGTCCAGTCCCATATGAAATATTTAAAGTAGTAGTTGCTTTTTAGAAGTTGATTCAATGATCCTTTTCATCTTACCTAGATCCTCCCTGTTTTCTTTTCAGAATAGGTTCAATAATCTACCATTTTAGCCTATCATAATTGTATCATCTGTTTCTCCCTTTTTTCTTTTCAATACAAGAGTCCTGGATCTAATCTCCTTTGTTTAGCTTTTTTCCTGACCATTACCAATAACAACTTGAAACCATCCCCACAAACAGTAACAAAAATCCAAAACCCATTGAGTGACCAGAAACCACCTATCCCATCTCTTGGGAATGTAGGTGTCATGTTCTTAAATTTACTTTCTGCTGTCTCTGGGGCAATAGCAGCTTTAGGGGATCCTGAAAAGAAAAATTTGGGTTAATTGTCAAGTGCTGGGAGAGGTAGCTGTATCATTTGTTGTCCAGTCTCTGTGTAATAGGAAAGTATGGGTCTTTTCTCAAGTCCTGGCTAGAGAAGTCTGTGAGGCTGGATCATCTCAGCTGGCCTCCTCAAAATTGTTCTGAGCAGTTTGTAGTCCAAAACTGATCTTTAGTTGGTGTTGTTCAGCTTAATGTTGTTAACATAGTACTGGTGAATTGTTGTGGGGTCCCATCCTCCTTTTGGAGGCTTCAAAAGTCACTATTAGGTGTGTTCATGATTCACTGCAGAAAACCGATAGACACACAAACCTGAAATTATGTACAGGAAGGTAGATGAAACCTTTTTCTAGAATTAGTTAGTACTCTGAGAATTTAGAAAGCAAAGCCATCCACAAGCCATAGAAGCCAGGCACATACCTTTAATCCCAGCAGCCAGAAGCTAGGACTCAGGATTAAGAGGTAGACAGATCTCCATGAGTCCAAGAAGTAGATGGATCTGAGTTCAAGGCCACCCAGGGATACAGGAGATTGAAGAGTCTAAAAGAGTAACAGATCACACATCTAAAGGGGTATATGCACTGGAGGGGTATAAAAGACAGAAGCAGGGTCTTCAGTATTCACTAAGAGGCATTCATTCTCCAGCCGCAGTAAAGATAGGAAGGCATAGAGTCTCGGGATTCTCCAGCCACACTGAAGAGAAACAGTCTTGGGTTTGGTGGAGCCGGGATGTCTTTCAGCAGAGGTGACAGATAGTGGCAGCTGCTTTGCTTTTCTGATCTTCATCTTGAAGTTTGAACCCCAATATCAGTCTCTGGGTCTTTTGTTTTTCATGTTACAACTCTGTATGACCATTTATATTATGAGAAAAACTTTAAAATACATATATATTAATCTTATACATTTTAGATAATATTTATACCTCAGGGAAAGCTTCAATGAGTCAAAACCAAAGGATTATGAGATGAGCAGCAATACAATAGTCCCTTAATTTTTGTTTTGTTTTTGTTTTTGTTTTGTTTTTCGAGACAGGGTTTTTTTGTATTGCTTTGGAGCCTGTCCTGGAACTAGCTCTGTAGACCAGGCTGGCCTTGAACTCACAGAGAGCCACTTGCCTCTACCTCCTGAGTGCTGGGACTAAGGGCATGTGCCACCAACACCTAGCTTCTGTTTTTCTCTTGTCCCATATCAGGTGACTCTTCTGACATGAGACAGAGATTTTGGATTTTACTTTAACAAGCATATTTTGGTTTAGAGGAGAGAGCCACACTCTAACTCCAAAGCCAGCTTTAATATTTAATTGGACTGGGACTACAAAATGACCATTTGTATTATATGGCTGTAGAG